AAAACATGTTTGCAGCTAGAACAAGAAAGACGGCCAGTAAGTTTTGAACTTGGTAAAGAAATTGAGGAAGATATTTTCGTCTTGTCACGAGCGTGACTCCCCACGAGGAATCGAAGCGCAGACCCTAGCCCCGATGCTCCACCACTGAACCGCTGAGACTCAACAAAATATGACGCTATCGACATTTCCGATCCTAATACGAACTTCGTAATGGGCCTTGCCCACCACAGAGCATCGGTTAGGAGACTCTCATAGGAAACGGAGATTTTTGCATAATCGTGGTCTATTGCTAAACTTAATTAGGAGCCTGTTGCCCGATTGATAGGTGAAGGTGAGGCCTTTTCCTTTAATTATTACTTATCATTTATCTCTTTAATTTTCACAGTTTATGACTGTGGCAATCGTAACTTCTCAACACCACAATTATTGATAAAAAGGGCGATTTATTGACGGTGAACGATGTGGGTTGAAACTTAAAAGTAATAAATAAATACAAAAATACAACAATTGATTAAGTAAAGGTGATAGGAAAGAAATACACTGAGCCACCTTGAAACGACAGTAATTACATTGTTACGATTACTGCAAAACTGCGCTCGACGAAATAACACTTTCCGAAGACGAAATGAAGAACAAAGGAACCGCTTGAAAGCGAATTGCGACTAGCGCGACGACCGAAAAAAGAAGGGCCCTAAACAGAGAAAACTAAGCTTATATATGCACGAAAAACTAAAATTAATGCTTGCGAAAACGACTAACTGAAAGTGCAATTCACGCCAATAATTACGAAAGAAACAATAGTGAACGAAAGTATGTGATAGGAAAAACAACAGAGGCAAACTAATCGGTGAAAAAACACTAATAGACGACGAGAAAAAGCAACAACACAAAAGCGACACCCTCATTAATGATTGAATGCATTACGCACGCTTTTAACAGTATTAAAAACTTTCGTTTTAGAACTTTATATAAATTAACCACGGGTAAACTAAGCCAGATTGTGTACGTACCTCTTGTCCTTTTTTCTTTTATTTGCATCAGTTTAATCATAAGGGAAAAAAGACAAAACAGATCTCAATTACAATCAATTTGCTCGACGGGCAAATTGCGAGCTTATGATGGAAAACGTAAAAAACTCCTAAGTTGAAGTCATGAGCTGGGCATTTCGCGTTCCCTCTTCTTCTCGGTTTCCTTTTTCATCTACCTTTATTCTTACCTCTAAAAACGCGCCTTCAGTACCTATTGTAATGTATAACATCCTATTACGCGTGCGACATTTGTCAAAGTTATGGTGGTTTTCATATAATATAAATTTATCGATTTCCTCAGCAAAAAGCAGCGGACAGCCTTTTAATTTATAAATACAGGGTATACATTTATAATTTACTTTTATGAAATTTATTCTAAATGAGTCCAAAACACTTCAGCTTTCCAAGTGTGTGGTATCCCATATCATCATTTGTATTGCCGGTATCTCCAAACCGCAGCTGCTTCACGGGAAGCTTGTACTTGTTTGTGAGTAGACCGCTGTCTTCTCGCCAAGTCCTATCCAGTTTGTCGCAGTTGCATCCGTACTTAGGGTCTGCACATGTTTTGTTCAAGTCGCATGCGCATTTGTTGTCCATGGCAGAATCCACTCCTCCCCAGTACTTCATCTTCTCTCCATCGCGGGATACCCACCAGCCATACATTTTATCCTTTCTTAGGAGTCTTGAGTAATAGCAATCGTACTTTATAAACTGCTCACAGTGAGTGGATGAAGCTGTTAGACTTGCTAGCTGAAGGAGACTGGTTTCATTGTAAGTGACATTGCGCGAATAACTGCCACGGCCTGGAAATCCATCCACCAGTGTTTTGCTTTCACTGTCATGACTGACAACTGTCACTCCAACACCGTCCTTGTCAGTCATATTACAGTAGACTTTGAAAGGTTTGACTCCGCCCTCTCCGTCAGGGTCGATGACGTAATAACCACTGGTGAGATTAAGTAGTTTGATCTGACTGCAGGTTTTATTTCCTTAGAAGCGAAGAATATGACAAAAAACTGTAAGTATCTCTTATTCGATTTGTTCTTAGCATCGGATAATTTGATCAAAGACACTTTCATGGAGTAAAGTAAAGCATTGGGGTAGATTACATTTTTAAAAAGTAAGAACAAAGCCGGCGGATCCGTGTGCAATCAAAGTCAATAGCATCAACTTGCTTCATATTCCCATTGAACAAGCCGATAACCTAATGCACATGATGTAGCGCAGCAAAGGGAACTATTTTACTTCTTGACGGCGCTTCAAATATTTTTGCTACAAATTTATTTTCAATATTTTCAATATTTTCAATATGGAAAATGACATAGTGAGTTTCATACCTGCTCGTTCGAAGTGATTTCCAAAAAATCCAGGTTTACACTCGACACAGGGATAGGAATTCCATTTATTTTCAGGAAAACAGACAGCATCGTTCTTGCAAGGGGTGCTTTCACATGGAGACTAAAAGTTAAAGAAAATATCTCGTAACAGTAGTGTATTGCATTGACTGCTTTCATAAAAAATAAAAAAATAACAATAACAAAAAATCTTAAGATAGACCTCTTACCGGTGGACTGTAATGATGAAATGTTGCGTTTGCTTGGAACGTTTTAGTTTCTCGGTACTTGTCAGTACCCAACAGATCACACAGATAAAGGCCATTTGAGTTAGGAAACGCAGCTAAGTTGAACGAGTAGCACTTTGGGTCACGAACACAAAGGAAGGCGCAGTCCAGCTGATCTTCTACCATGGACGATGAAAGTTTTTGTACCCACAAGTAATGGAAGGGATCGCGCTTAAATTTACCAAAAGAGAGATCGCCTTTTGGATTTCGATAGAGAGCGCTGTTATCCATGGCAAACATCAAGTTCAGCAAAGAAGGGAAAAATACCAAGAGTGGCAAGAGCAGCATGACAACGGCTGGTGAACTTTCAACACCTGAATGAGTTGGTTCAGGATACAGAAGAGCTTAACTTGAAGCGAAAAAGTAATTGTAATTGTTTAGAATGGTCGCTGTTTAATGCGGTAATTGTCTTGGACAATAATTTTGCAATTATTAATTGTTAATTGTCAAGTCGGAGCAGGTGAAATACTGGGAGCGTTTTATGGAAGAATCTTGGCCTATTATGGTTCAAAGACTTAGATACTTTTTCTATAAGTGTTACATTAAACCGCAAGGCAGAAAAAGACATGGAGAATAAGAGAAAGCCACGCCATGGCGTTGCAAAAGTTTGATATCTGGAGAAAGTGACATGTTAGGTCTAACTTTAAAGTCCCTATTCACCCTCAGAGGTTTAGATATATTTCGATTCTTTGCGTTATCAGGATTAATCTCCAAAAAGAATTTTGCGATTGATTAAATATCTCCCGAGATATGCTGCCGCAAAGTTACTCTTTTGGCCACGCCCTTTTGATTTGGCCGGGAGAGAAGTACTGGGCCGAGTGACGTCACAGCAAGAACGAATGTTAACTTCTCGTACAAGAAAATTTGTCTATTGTTGTAAAATGATGTGAAAATGCCGACTCGTTGCGTGGTCGCTGGTTGGTCAAATACAACAGCTTCGTCTAAACGCATATTCAAGTGAATGTAGGCACATCGATCGAAAGACATTCTTGCTGTGACGTCATGAGGGACTTTTAGTTACTAGTATTAACTTAGCCCGGCCAAATCAAAAGGGCGCGGCCAAATGACGAACTTTGAGGCGGCATATCTCGGGAAATATTTAATCAATCGAAAAAAAATTTTTCGGAGATTAATCCTGATAACGCAAAGAATAGAAATATATCTAAACCTCTGAGGGTGAATAGGGACTTTAAATTAAAGTTCCTTACACTGACCGTTTAGGCTGACAACCCGCAATGCCAGCTTGTTTTATCAAGTAATGACTTGTTTCTGTTCCCTGTCACATGCCGAGTTCACAAATTGTGGTTCTTAAGTTTATTTCTAATTTAACAGCAGGTAAATGGGTCAGATGAACCTTATATGTCAATTTGTCCGTTTATGAGAACTTTCATGATTCAAATACATGTTGTAAACACTAAATGAATGTCATGGGCATGTGAGACACTCATTTCCTCTTAAAATACCGGGCGGTAAAGAAAGACAAATTAAAGAGTAAGAAACGAAAGAGACGCCACGGAGTGAAAAACATTAGACATTGACAGAAAGCAGGTGACACGTTTGGTGAAACATGAACTTAAACTTACTTACATCATTTACGCTGAGAAACACTTTGATCCGAGTAAAACAGTAGTGTTCTGTTATATGTCAAAACTCAGCAATTCAGGTTCTTAGCTTGATTTCGAGTTAATGATGCCCAAGTGCTTCATGCGAACCTTATATGATAATTTGTCCGTTTACGAGAACTTTTCTGTTTCTTCCAAGAGTTTATCAGTTATCATTATACTGTCGGCAGCGCGCGTGAGCAACAATGTGTTCTGATTGGCTACCCGAGCGGGCAAGATGGAACCATCTTGCCCACCGGGAATCGCCTGCCTTGATCCCGCGCGAGAAAAAGATTGCGTGGAGCAGACGTCTTTAGAAAGTCGTAATTTTTTGACAATGATGGCGATGGAGTCACAAAAAAGCGGAGAAAAATAAAAAATTAAATGAATCTCATGTGTTTTTTCGCGCCTCAAACACTGTTCGATTTCTTTTTCGGATCTCGAAATAAACAAGTCGTTTTTGACTCTTGTTATATACAAACTTTTCTTGCTGTTGAATAAATCCTTTATTGACCAAGTTTGTTCGGTCAAGATGGCTGGATATTGGGAAATCGCTCGGTCAATACAGCCAGGCCGATCAAAGTTGAAGATTATCCCGCAACGACCGAACGGTCGAGGTCATTAAGTTGTTTAAAACATGACATACAGACTGAAGAAACGAAAAATTTATTCAAGTGGAATTCGTCAATGTGCATCCGGCGATGTGCGCGTTTACCTATTCATTCATCGACTTAAACCCACGGTAAAACTATGCAATCACTGAACTACACCACTGCCACGATTTCGGGAAAAATGATTGTCAGAGCGTTAAAAAAGTATTTCAATATATTGCTGGCACACATTGATGAAAGATTTGTCCAATTTTCAAGGAGTGCATACAGAAAAGTGTTCAATTATAGTACAAACACGTACGGCCCTTGCATTAGTGAAAGAAAATGCAAATGCTTCGGAATGCACTGATCAGAATATTACAATCTTCGCCTCCGCTTTTGCCTTTTAGGAGATTTATGGATGAACTGAACTTCACAAGCCTTTTAAGGTGATTCCTCAGTACTGCATTGTGCATCCCCTACTGCGCATAAAACCTCGTAATCAGGCGAATAAGCGCGCATTCCGAGCACACGGTATTGTTTTTTAATCAATGGAGCAGGTAAAAAGGTGCGATACACCGAATGCAAATATGGCATCCAATTTGAGTTGCTATTGTTCTGGACTCATTAGCCTCGTCTTCGCGTGGAAATGCAAAATGATTATTTCATGTGTGAAAGGCTAGTGAGTCCAGAACAATGGCAACTCAAATTGGATGCTATATTTGCATTCGGTGTATGGTCTTTAGCTCTTAAACGGGCACGCTGATCTATATTTTTATTGCATAATTTTGGTGTACAAATTATCTCCTTTATATTGGAGATATTATTGGCCAATATCAAGCAATCTGATAAACTACACAGACCTGTTTTGATATCTGAATTTTAGTTAAAAAGGACTTAACCAGAAGTTTTAGGTGGATTTTTATTTGACATCACTAAAAAATGACAGATAAACAATTTCAAGAGACAATTCAGCAAACGTTACTCCTCTCTGGTAAATGGCAAACTTTACATCATTTGGTAAGAACATAGTCTCCTTCGCAGACGATGTTTGGTCTCGTCACTACACGTACTCTCTCCCTATCTGAGGAACTGAGAGCGCGTTTCGTGACGAGACCAAACAACGGCTGCGAAGGACACTAGTCAGAACAGGGTCGTATTTTGCGTTCAAAACTGTTTGATTGAATAGAACAGTCGCACAAAATTATGAACATCAATTTAAAAAACCCATCAATAACACTATTTTTCTTCTTCCACATCGATCGAGTACAGGTGACAACACTGACGTTCATAAAGATTCCTCTGACCAAGGCTGACCGTAAACTTGACATTAACTAAAACTGGTGAGTGTCCAGTCCACTATAAATTTCCCAGCATGATCAGCCAGGGGATCACAAGTCTAAGAGTAAAGTGTGAGGATCCTCTACAGAAGCTTTGATCTTCCTGAGGAATGTTACTGCTTCTCTACCGTCGATTAAACGATGGTCATAAGTGAGGGCTAAGTACATCATGGGACGGATCTCAACCTGAAATACAACGCAAATGTCAATTCTCCACACAGTCTGCCACGCGTTTCTGCTAACCTTCCCTCTGAGAATTTGTTGTTTAATCAAACTATATCCCTTTCCTTAGATTAATCATTCTTCTCCCCGCCAATTCTGCTTGAAAATGTATTGATACCGTAAAGAGAATTTCTCCTTTGGGTACTTGTCGTAGTGACAGGATTAGAAGCATTCTGGGCAGATTAACCCAAATAGGAGTCTACGACTGACAGTCGCCATACCTATTACATCTTTAAGTCAACTTTACTCCATATCTTTGTCTTCATCCCGTGAGAGACAGCTGCTTAACACTTGAATGATCTTTTTCTATAAATCTTTTTCTCGTATTCAGGTGACGCCTGTCCCTCGTGCCCCTCTCCTGTCGCCCTCTCCCGTCCCCTTCTCCTGCCCCCCTCTCCCGTCCCCCTCTCCTACCGCCCTCTCCCGTCCCCCTCTCCTACCGCCCTCTCCCGTCCCCCTCTCCTACCGCCCTCTCCCGTCCCCCTCTCCTACCGCCCTCTCCCGTCCCCCTCTCCTACCGCCCTCTCCCGTCCCCCTCTCCTACCGCCCTCTCCCGTCCCCCTCTCCTACCGCCCTCTCCCGTCCCCCTCTCCTACCGCCCTCTCCCGTCCCCCTCCCCCCTACCTAGGGTGTTCGATAAATAGAAGGACACAGTCAGTTGTCTTTTTCCCGTGAGTTTATTTGAAAGATGAAGGCCCCTATTCAATGTGGTGGCCGGACATTTCTAGAGAAACGCTGAACTTTCGTTGGCGAAAAAAGACTCCTACAATGCAGATGAACAGGATGTTAGCTGACGCTTCTGATCGGTTTCATTATAGATTGGTCACCAGGTCTCTAACCTTTCCATTTACAGCCACCGGTCGGTCAACAATGGCGTGCATGCCCAGGATGGCAGACTGGGGCGGGTTTATAATGGGTGTGCCCATCATGGAACCAAACACTCCGCCATTGGAGATGGTGAATGTTCCTCCATCCATGTCTTCGATGGCCAGTTCGTTTGTTCGAGCCTGAAGACGAAAAATAAAGGGAAACAGTTATGTTCGTTTGAGTCGAACCTCGAGTCTATTGAAAAACAGCACGTTAGAGCCTCTGATTTTCGGAGAAGGAATGAAACGCGTCTCAACAGATGTTTTTTTTTTTTTTATTATTGTCCTCCACCTGTCTTGAATAGTCACTGAGGGCAGCACCACCTAAATAAAACTAAGAGTAATCTTTCAAGTAATTTTGAATCCATGTTTCTCTACCAAAATCAAAGGAAGTGGTATTTTCGAGCGAGATTCTGTACATTTATTCAGTGGTCAATTATGGTACTTATAGGTGGCGTTGTGTATCCTTTTTTTCCGTACCCCTCGTCTGCGGGTGACTGTTTCACTGTAGCATGCAAAGAAGGAAGGATAGAAGGAATGGGTGATGTACTTGCAGAAACACAGCACAGGGCCCCGTGACTGGTACCGAACGCAGCCTAACGTCCTAGTAAGAACGAACGAGATAAGTTCGTGCTTCTACGAACAACACATTTACATACCTTCTCTCCCATCGCATTGATCGCTTTTTCGATGTCGGCGTAGTTCATTTCTTCTACGTTTCTAATGACTGGCACAACAAGTCCCTGTAAGAGAGTAAAGTGCAAGCGTCGCTGCTTTCAAGGTTCTAAAGTTTCTTGTCCTTCAGTGAATTTCCTTGAATTTCAATGAATTAGATTTGATGAATTAACAAAGTCATACAAGCTGTTATAGCGCAAAATAAAATCAAATGCTTCTTCCACAATTTTTACAGACCTTGGGCGTGGCTACCGCAACGCTTATATCCACGTAATCTCTGTACACAATCTCGCTGTTTTCAATCACTACAAGAAAAATGGGAAGAAGAGCATGACAACCCAGCATGCGAAGTTCTTCAGTTATCAGATTAGCAATTCTCCTTACTGTCTGCCATACAATTCTTATGATGTTGGTTCAGAGGACTTGGTTTTGGATCAGCGAATAATCCTCTAGCTGTTACTTTTCTTTATTCTAATCAGTTGTCTGCTTCATATTGTAATGATAATTAGTTAAGAGAAATTTTTTCTTTGTCACTCATTAGAGTTGAGGGTTAAACTGTTCAAGTTATAATTTCTTAGTGAAAAAATATCAGAAAATACAGCTTACAAAGCTGTCTAAACCAACAAAAAAAGAACTGCAAAAAAAAAAAACAATCCTATTTCGATTGCCATCCATGTTATACAACCTTGAAAACATGATTGGTTACAGATACAAGAAGGAAGATGGAATAAGAAAACCAACTGACCAGCATTCACTGTTGGCTCACTCTGCAGGGCATGGGCAGAAGCTTTTATAAAGGCAGACATGAAGCCTAGTTTGACACCATGCTTCTTAACAAATGCATCTTTGTGCTTTTTCCGCATCTCTGAGACATGACTGGAAAGAACAAGAACAAACAAGAGAAAGAGTGCTACCAAATCTGACGCATTGTTTTTATGCCTCATGAAAAGTACACAGTTTTAAATGATGTCACAGCCAGTCAAAGATGGGAATAGCATATTACGTTGCTGTTTTGTGACAATTTAGTATAGAAATCAAATCATAACTACCAGTTAACAATTGATGACATCTAGTTTGGTACTGAAGCAGCCCTTGAAAATATGAACACTAACCTCATATCAACTTCATTAAATGTTGTCAACATTGCATAAGTGTTCTGTGAATCCTTGAGTCTTTGAGCAATCCTTTGACGCATTCTTGTCATCCTTGCCTACATACAAACACCTTTTATGAAAAACTCATTTTCAATACTCTAATTAAGCACTCTGATCCCCACTCCCTCTCCTTCTGCATTTGCTTAAGATTCAAGCTTCAAATCTAGAAAGCTCTTTTAAATCTAATTACAGGGTGCCAAAAGGGAAGTGTTTGGGTTCCCCATTATTAATGAGTCCAACCTTTTGGTACCTAATGAAAAACAAACAGTAAAAGGGTACTTGCTAATATGGAGGCAAGAGATAAAATTCATCAAAGCTTGAATACTGTACCTTATGTTCAGAGCGAGCTCCACTGGGTAGACCGTCTGCTGGCAGAGCACCTGTTAGCTGTGGGGGAGGGGTAGGGGGCCCTGGTTTAACTTCTGTGATTGGTTGAGTTGGTACTTCAGGAGCTGAAAAGGCAAAAGGAAAAGAAATCTTGCAGTATAACTATAACGTAATCTTTTCTGGAAACTTTCAGTTACTGAGTGCTCAGATGAACAAAACCAATTCATTTTCAGGGGTATGGTTTGTCTGGAAGAAAACAAACAATCATTGTAGTCAAAGGCTTACCTTTGGTAATCAAACACACTGCTTAAAATTTAATCCTTCAAATCCCAAGATCTAATCACTAATTTTCCCTCTAGCTACTACACATTTCCTTGTAAATAAGTTCTAAGAATTTCATGCTAGATCAAGAGAACTTCTGTAGCTGATAAGTTCAAGTATTCTCATTACCTGTTTGTTGAATACTGTATGGGCATTGTAGGGAGAACTTACATGTTTATCACTTCTGCAAGTTAAAGGGCTAAGTTTGTGTGGTTGCACACTTAGCCCTTCAATTTCAATTTTTAGCCCTTCAACACATCAGACTTTTGGGAATTAAAAACTCTTATCTGATGGAACCCTATTCATTGACATGAACCATCATTTTTAACTTTCAACTCACTAGATCTACCCAGAAATTTCCCTCCTGCAGCAGTTGCTACACATATCTTGCAAATAACCGTCATATCAATTCTTCACCCAATACCTAATAACTTTTGTCTGTTCTCATCCCCTACTGGCATGCCAGATTATGTATTAATTAACTTTTTACCCCACAATATCAGTATGGATATTCCCCATATTGTTCTCTATACATTTCCTTAGGTGCTGCCAAGGAGAATTTGTTTTACAACCAAGAGTTTCTTTAAATGAAATGATTTCCTTTATTCTTGTCACCTTAATGCGTGATTCAGGGTTGATATTGTAAGGAGAAATTAGATGCTGGTCACTCTTAGAGATAAAAGGATTAAAACCGTGAGGAGTTAAATGTTAGTCACTTCAAGCAATGGAGGCTTACAATGTTTATACCTGGGGGAGGAGAGGTAGGGATCTTAAAAGCTGGTGCAGCTGGTTCCTCAGTTGGTGGTGCTGGACTCTCGGCTGCAGGTTTACTTTCTGCTGTTGTCTCCTTTGGAGGGGTGTCCCCTGGAAATAGAGTTCAAGTACATAAAAAAAAGACTAATACTTTTAGTCTTGGGAAAACAACGTATCCTCTGAAAAAAAAGGGCTAGCCAACATGTTTGAGTTCTTGCAGAAAATGACTAAGAAGAGCTAACACCCAGTGGATTGTAAGGTAAAGGAAACTTTAAGTATAAAACTAATACCTGTAAGAGCAAGTTTAAACAGCTGTTGACCTTTCTCCACTTTATCACCATCATTGACAAAGAACTCTACAATTGTTCCAGCTGAAGGGGCACTAACTGGTATACTGGTCTATAGTCAGAGGGAAAATGTAATTTAACAAAACTATTTAATAAATTGAAAACTCACCTCATGAAGTCTTGTGATGTCTGGTCTACAGAGTTGCTGGGTTTCAACCAAATAAGGTTGGTAAAGTGTTCCATCAAAAAACCCTCTCCCCTTTATATAAATTATATGCCAGTGAAACAAGTAACATTTGTTTGATTGCTCATCCATTATCATTTAAGTAGGAAGCAAAGCACATTCAGAGCTGGCTAATTACTGGCTTGCTTGTTTGGCTGACTTATGTGTTACACCTTACAGCTAAAGGTACATTATACTCATTCACGTAGCACTGTACCTTGTCTGTTTCTATTTCTCCAACAACTTCATCTTCAGCAACAGTATCTCCAACAGCTGTGAAAAGAAAAGAAGATACATGAAATACTAAATATCCTTATTACATCCAGTTTGATTTAATTTTGCTTTAATTCATTAGATTTGCCGACAGGCAGGGACACCGCAACAGCTTGCGCCAATTACTGCGGGCCCAGTAAACCCACCCATCCCACCCCAGGAGAGGACATCCACCACACAGTAATCTTGTGCATGGGAAATTTATGTCTCCTACCCCTAACCCTGCAGGAGATGGGGCCTATGGTTTATTCGTCCTTGTCCGAGAACACTAGAATATCTATCCATTTCTTGATATTATAGAAAGGTAGCAAATTCTCCTCAGTTATTTTAAGACTCTGAGTGTTGGTCCAGCCAGGGCTTGAACCCTCGACTTCCAGCACAACAGTCCGGCACTCTACCAATTGAGCTAACCAGGAGGCGGTTTGAAATTACTAGTGATCCTGATTGGCTCTCAGCAATGTGAATTAAATTCACAATGTGCACTACACTTTACACAGCATACCTTTATCCCATCTGACATCTCCCTCTGTAACTGACTCTGCAAATGGTGGTGTATTCACTATTATGTAGTTCTCAGAGTCTGTTAGAATTTGACCAAACAAAATAAATAAAAATAAAGTAATATCCTGATAATCCTGTGGATTCAATTACAAGGTTGTAGATAGAGGGTCCTAGGGTGCCCATGACCACCCCCCCCCATTTGAAAGCCATTTCCTTTTGTCACATAAATGAAACACGGAGTGGAAGACAACATGACAATCTGGTGAGTGCCCTCTGTTTGAATCAGTGTGACCCCCCCTCCCCTTGTAAGCCTTTTGTTTTGTCACATTAAGTAAAACAGGAAGTGGCAGTCAACTTGACAATCTGGTGAGCACTCTCTGTGACCCCCCTCCCTTTGAAAAATCCTGACAATGCCCCTGAATTACTCCTACTTCCTGGGTGAGTACCAAAGTAACTGTAAATGTAACACCACATTCTAGACATGAACCAACAACTTTTAAAAGAAAACTATAGTGCTTACTTAGATTACCACATTAATTATTGATGAATGGGATACAACTTCTGTGAAGGCCTGGACTCTTAAATTATTTTAAACTTTTACAACTTCCTGTGCACATGTATGTAAGAACAGTTTGTTAAGAACACTTACAAAAGGTTGAGGATGAATGGAAGTATTTCTTCTCCTTCCAACTAAGAGGCCTGTGGAAATATAAGAGACAGACAGAAAAATCCTAACCCTTCAAATTCCAGATGTGATTACCAGGTAACTTTTCCTACTAACATCCACAAATTATCCAGCAAACAGGTAATAAGAATACTCAAAAATCTGATTAGGTTGTTACAAGCTGTGTCTTGATCTAAAACCAAATTCTTGCAATTTATTTACAAGGAAGTGTGCAGCAGCTAGAGGGAAGAGTTAATAATCAGTTCTTGATAGTTAATGGTCAAGGAATAGATTGGCCATATTGATAATTTTTTAGCAGCTAATACAGGGGCATTTCAATAAGCTGACATATGACCTTGTTCCAAATAGACAAAGCCATATGTACAGAAATGGGGATAACAAGCATGATATTTTCCAAAAGGGAAAGGAAAAACAAATTTTCAATTTGAATGTTACAAGCACAATACTGATGGAATTCTTACAGACCAAAAGTTTTCTCAGTTGTGAGTACCAAAGCCCAGTCCCTCTCAGCAGAAGTAGGAGTGGACTTTGATTATGTACAACTGTGTATTGCTACAAGACACTTGTGCAATATTTCACGCGTTCAAATACTACGATCTGAAGAGACAGTCTTTTAACACGAGGTAGGACCCAGGTTAGAACATAGTTAAATCTTATACGATGATTATTACGTATCGATTAAGCTTATTAAAAGAGGGTGCATGCACGCAAAATAAGTTGAACTTTAGGTTCATGGTACTAGTAGAATTATTCTACACTCACATTCTCTGACTATTTCCACGCAATATTCCTGTGGTTTGAATCTTAGTTGCTAAAGAGATAGTAAAGTCATTCAGTGACAAGTGGAAGCACAAGGAACACGAAAAATTGCAGTCAATTTCAGGTAACAAACCACCGACCTGCATTTTGTAGGCTACTTGAACTGTGCCGAATTCCGTATTGAATGAACTGTCGCTTTGGAGATGAAAAATAAACTTTAGATAGGTAATATGACCTATAATTGGTAATTTAAATATAAACTTACTGAAATATTTGTGGTATAATTTCTGTAAAGCCGTATACGATGAAATAACCGGGTGATGTTGCGGCAGCTTAGGGAAGCCATATTGGATAAGGCCAGAGGCATTAACGTGAGACCTGGGTAGGAGCTGCCTCTCTTTCATGATAGTTTTAAAACTAGCCTCTTTTTCATGAACGAAGGAGATTGCTGCGTTAGTGCATAGTGGGGGCATTTCACATATTTGTCTTTATCAACTGTGTTAATTATGAAAGTTGGCCACCTTAAAGAGTTTCTAAAGCCAACTTAAAATATCAACTATATTGATACAACTAAGTCATTTTTTTCATGAAGGTAGTCGAAGGGTTTAATTTACACGCAAAGCAAAGATAATCGGTAAAAGTTTGACTCTCATAACAGAGCTGAGCAAAGGATTGATGCAGATTGCACTCCGGTACTGAAATTCTTCTAATCTGCTGCTTTTCCCTGCCTTTGTGTATATTATATATGATTTTCTGTCCTTTTTTTTCTTCCAATAATTATTGCAAGTTTTATCGTTGTTGCTGTGCATGAGGAAATTCTATAAACTTAGAATGCATGCTTTCCACATGTGATAGTCAACGTTACAGTTGCCATAGAAACCTCTCTCTTCGTGAGACCCGACGAACCGAGACAATCTGACATTATCCAAATATGGGAATTGTTTTGTTAGGACCCAGTCCCCGTAAAGTTGACTTCGGTGACGTCAGTTCACAATATGAAGGAAAGTGTGTTGTGAGTGATTGTCTTTGTGTTGTTGTCCAGGTTTGCTTTCGTTGGTTCGCTACTTCTACCCAAACATTTGTTCAAAACTGGCTATCCCCGTGGTCTTCAGCTACCCTGGCCTCGTCTGACGACGAACAGCAAGGTGGACTGTCTCCACCACCGCAAAAAAAGGCGCGCCTTTCTTTGGGCCTCGAGTCCGATATGCACAAATCGAAACGGACTTCTAGTGGAAGTGATGGCGAAACCAGTACCTCTAACGGCGAATGTATAGCCAATGGAGACAGTAAAGGCCATCTTAAAAGGAAAATTGTTCATAGAAGCGACGAAGATGTCGTACGGTTAATAGTCCAGCATCTACAAGGCTTGGGCTTGAAGTGAGTCGCGTTAAAAATGATGGAATTGTAGAAGACGCGAATTTCATCGGCATCTAACTTCTGTTGCTGGTTTCCTGTTGCGTGGCCTATACGATTGATGTTTATTTTATTTTATCCCCCAGTAAATCAGTCGATGTCCTTATGCAGGAATCAGGCTGTAGACTAGAGCATCCATCTGCGGCTAAGTTCCGTGAGAGTGTTATGGCCGGTGATTGGGAAAGGGTTAGTGTTCCGATCGCAGTGTTTGGCTTTCAATTATGAATCCTTTCTTCACTGTAAGCTATCTCTGTGGACAATGCTTCGTTCAAATGTCTTTGTGGGAGGTTCAATCTTTCTTATTGGATTTTTTCTCTGTTCTTAAGGCGGACGTTATCCTCAAAGAGCTCAGGCCTTTAGTTGAGAACAAAGAAGACATCTCGGTTAGTATTTATTATGCCTGGTTTTTGGCAAAGTTATTCGACAGGTCCAAAGGCCCTATTCAATATCGGTGGCGTTCATTTAATTCCTGCAGTTATTACATGAAATTTAATTCGTATTCTCGCGTTAACCGAGCTGTCCTTATTTTTCCGCGTTATAGAGGCAGTATTTGGAGTGAAGATTTTGAACTGGTGTATTTTGTTTTGGCTGTAAATCTTTTTTTAATGTGTGCGTTATGTACTCTTTCAAAGAAAATGAGGTTTTGCCTGTTGGAGCAGAAGTTCCTAGAATTCCTCGAAGAAGAGAACCGTCTAGAGGCTGTTTTCTGTTTAAGAACAGAACTAACCCCTTTAAAATGTAACAGAGAAAGGGTTCATCAGCTTAGTGGGTAAGTGTTATATTTCGCTAGAAATCCATGAAATAAATTTACATATATGGCTTCCCTCTGTTTTTTTTTACGGCTCACCATGACTTGTTTGATATCAAGCTATTTGCATGGAGCTCTGGCCAGCTCCTTGTTTCCGTACAAATGGTTATCAGGTAGTTAAAATGCCTAGAGCTGAGCAGGCAGTGATATTTACACAAAGACTTCCAGGATACTTGAGTTTGTAGCTTTAAACATGGCTTTAACATCTGGCCCCTTGTTAATTTTCTATTCTTAATTTTAATATTTAATTTCCCAATCAGAGGGTTTCTCAAAAGTGACCCAGTGAAGAAAAAAAAAAAAGTTCTTAAAAAAACCTTTTTTTTTTTCAACTTGGGTCCCTTTCCTTTTGATTTTGTGGGAAAGGAAGTCTACCACCAAATATTTAGGAAATCTACAGCCATTCATCATCTATGGATGCAAATATCATTAAGTTTACTAATTTAGTCTCATAACATACCTCGTCAAAATACATTGATTTTCATTTTTGTCAACTTATTATTTGTCAAGCTGTTATTTTTACCATTATCTAATCTGTAACCTTGATATATTAGAAAGTTATGTGTGGGAAGCATGACTGAATCATTACAACTTTAATTCACAAAGTTTTCCTCTTCTGCTTTATGGGCACTCTGATAATTTTTTTGGTGCAGGAAAAGTATATTTATTCTTATTGACTGCTTTGTGTGAGAGACAAAAATAATTATCCAGGGTTTTTTATGGCTGTTTTTTTGTTTTTTGATTGGAAAGGCTTACAGTTACTTCAGGACTATGCTCTAGCAGTGCCCAGTGGCCCCTGGGGCCTTACATTTGTTCTTGGGCGACCCAGGAATTTTAGTTTTTTCATAAAAAGCATATGCTGGGCACCCTAGATCTGAGCACTGGGCTCTCTTCAATTTTTCTTAGAGCACAGCCTTGTACTTGTACAACTTTTCTGTTGATGTGGAAGGAAATTGTATATGTCTATGTATGAGCTATTGTTGAAGCAGTACTAGAAAAAAGGCTCCCTGAGATTCATTTTACCTGATCTCATGTCAAATTTTCCTTGCATTTTTTATCACAGCACTTCAGAAGGGTAACTTTTACTACTGGTTTGATTAGACATAACTTGAGTCTTTTTCATGATACTCCTGACTGGACTTTCATACATACATATAGAGTTGTGTGAGCAGATATAGTGCTGGGGTGATGTGATACTTGTACCTAAAAATTTGGATTTGTTTGTCCTTTGGTCCAATGAGCAAAGTACTATTCAAACTAGAGCTGTAGTTTGAATTCATTTGTCCTGAGACTTATTTTCTGTCTTAAGAGGTTCATTTGATATCCTGTAATATTTCTCTCTCACTATTAATCAGAACTACTGACACGAGGTAACTGACTTTAACTTTGCACAATCCAAGTTAATTAAGGGGGGAAGTATCATTCTTAGAACTGTACAATCTTTACCTTAAAATTCTAGATGTGTCGAGCTTTTATTCTTTATAACTCTATTTGTTGTACATTTGAGACAGTTTTTTGACTATACATACATTCATACATCATTTATTGAAAAAGGTGAAAAGTATAGCAACACTTGGCTGATGTGGACTTTACAAGTACATGTAAATAATTAATAACTTGTCTAATCATTGCTACCTATTAAATAAAAACAGATCACAAAATGTATCTAATGTACATCAGTTAAGATAAGATAAATTTATATACAAATAAAAGAAGGGTTCAAAAATATGTAAAATCCTCAATGTCCTTGTTCAAGTTGACGCAGGTACCTTTTTGAAAGCTAATTTGAACAATTTCTTTGCATTTCTTAAGGGCACATTTAAATAGATCCTTATTTACCAGTTTTGTAGTATTGTTATTTAGGCCATTCCATACAACCGGACCTCTAAAATTTTAGAATGGTCATAAGATAGCTAAACCTGATTTCTCTTAGATTAGTGATGTATACAACAAAGGAGGAACTTCATAAAAAAGCTGAATGGAATGGAAAAGGATACCAATCAAGACACAAGCTGATGGATAGGCTGCAATGTAAGTTGATCCTCTATAGATACAAACTGAACAGCATTTGTGACATTTCTTTCAATCCTTTTGTGGCAATAATCATCAATGACCTATTTGTCCTTCATGGTTGAACAAATGTACACTGTGTCTGGTTGCCTGGTGACTCCAAAAAATAGCTTTTTTTTCTAATTTGCAGTGTTGACTTTCTCTTGTCAGTTTTAAGGCTTCAATTTCATATCTCTTTGTTTGATTTTTGTGATTTTAGGAATCTTGTTGAAAACCTAACAAATGTATATGGTTTATTTTAATACTTACCCTTTGAGATATTGGAAATTACAGTATTTAAATCTACAGAACACTTCATCAGTGACAGTGCCTCGAAGGAAACTGTTTGTTTTTTGATGCATTGTACATCATAGAAAAATTCATTAAAATCTGTTAATTTATATCTTGTGGTTCAAATTTTAATTAAAAAAATTGCAAACGACTTTCATCGATATTTGTCATTGTCTTGAAACTGGTTTGAAAGATTCAAAGCAAGGAAACATTTGAACCCCATATACATAATTATAATATATGCTGCAAAAACATGAATTTATACGTGTGGTTTTGAGGACAAATTCTTAATATGTTCCTGCGGGAATTTGAACCTCAGCCAGTCAAGTTTGTGTTACTTGACCTGCTGAGCTTCAGAGAAGTCCTTGATGTTTAAAGGGAGGATCAGCTTCATCTAATCTCTATACTGATATTGAGTTTTAGGATGTTTGGTAAATGTTAGGTTTGGCTAAGAAAGAAGGATTGAACTGTTGACATGGGTGTAGCATAAAATGAAAAATCCAATTACTGCTATCCAATGTAGCATGCAAGTAGGCTCTTGGGTTTTGCATCACGGCCCTTTTTCAGGACACAATGGTCCATTATACCATTGGCAGCAGCTTATGGAGAAATTTATTGAACACAGCACATTGACTTGACCAGGTCTCGAGACTCTACCACTCGAACTGGAGTCAAAGGCATTAACCATGAGGCCACCGTGCCTCTCCTATCCTGCTTAGTGTATAGAAGTGAGAAAACCGTAAGTTTGGTCTTCCACTTTTTACTGGTCATTTCCAAAAGGAGCATTTGCAATGCCTTTCATGTCAATAATAAAAGACCTCCATGCAATGCTCTTTTGTAGTTGTTTGATGTACAAGTCGTTGTCTCTACTTTATTTACTGATAGTGTTATGTGCAATTTTTATCTTCAGCATTTTTACCAGCATCTGTGATGCTTCCACCACACAGACTTAGAACTTTATTAAATCAAGCTGTTGAGCTGCAGAAAGAAAAATGTCCTTATCATAATACAAAACTTGAACTTGGACTGCATTCATTTTCTCTGCTAAGTGATCATCTATGTTCAAGGTAAGACTCAAAAGTGTATGTCTCAAATGAAGTACATTCAATTTGGTATAGTGTAATCACCATGTATGCCCTGTTCAGCCTTCTCTTTGTTAAGCTGCCCTTTCCCTCCCTTTCAAGAACTTCAAGTTTCTAATGGAGCACAGTACACCCCCTTACCTCTTTACTCAAAAACTGTGCCGAGTGTGGTAGCATCATAGAAAGAAATATTACCATTGTATTCAGTGAATCTAGGTGATACAGTAATTTGGAAGAAATATAGTCATTTTGGCCCTCATACATTTTTAGTAAGCCCCTCCCTTGCCGACCTGATTAATTTCTCTGTCCAGATTTTCAAGTTTCTAATCAACCCCATAAAGACTGGCATGCCATAAACAGCTGTGGTAGCTTAAAATGGATACTGTTTGCTTTTGGAACACCTGCGCCAATGATGAATGATAAATTACTCATGATCTGTTGAAGGCAGATGTGTAGACGAGCTCAACATTAACAACATTTTGTTATCCATTATAAAAACAAATAGATTCCACGTTGCTGTGTGTTTGTTCAGTAAATGACAATGATAACAAACTCAGTTTTGCCTTGTGTGTTGTATTTTTTTTTCTTATCACATTTTAATAATAGTAATATTAAATAATAATAATAATTGTCACTGCTAATTTTGACGTCTCCGGTGATCTATGACTGAAGAGACTCAGGGCGACATGAAATCTATTTGTTAATCTGACACTTGGTGGGCTACCCTTTCCAGTTTTTCCATTTTCAGAGCAAAACTCAAGATTTGAAAAAATAATTTTTTAGAATCCATGGAAACTTTTATGTTATGTTCCCAGTATTATTCTCTCTCCACCTATGAGACAGAGAGAGATTAATCTAAAAATTCATGTCCTAGCCACGGTTTTGGTGGAAAAGATCATTCTTTGCTTTTGTAGTACTATGTATACTGTTTAATATATGATTAACAATTATTTACCAATGTGGAGGTGAATCATGGTAATAAACCAAAAATTAGTTTATTCTGTGAGTATACCAAAAAATGGTGGGAATTTAAACTCTTGACGTGTAATTTTGTCTCTTTGGTTGCCCATGGTGAATAGTATGCTCTTCACCTTCAAATGAGCCAATCAGTGGGTGCAAAGAGCACTATTCACCTGTGAGGTATATACTTATTTTAACAAATGCTATTTGAAACTGCTCAAGGAGTAAGTTACATTGTATAGAAAGACAAGACAGACATTGTACTTGAAACAGTTAAATTCAAAGCCCATTTGCTGCAATGCACTGAATATGGAGAAATAATGTCATTTTTGTGTCTTCTGATGCATTTCTTGAATCTGGTTCTTATATTAATTCTCACTTTATTGTTACTTTCTCAGTTTTCATTGCTTATCCTTTTCTTCATAGGAATGTCCTTCCATGTGAAACAAAATACATTTTAACAGAACACAGTGATGAGGTAATTAATTTTTACTAGTTTTAATAGTGAGGTTGAGTGGTGTCAACAGCTGATTTTTTACCTCGGCAAAATAACGTAAAAAATTATTTTAATTTTAAATGTGCGCAGTCATAGCTTTTCTCAGGGCTGGGAATCTTCGGAAAACACAGCTGTTTTTACAACAAACCATTTTACATTATGATTAAAGGAATAAAGAGCATGTGGAAATATGAATTGGTGGAAAGTTGATTTTCAAAGTTTGAATATTAGATTTATCTTTTCACTTCAGGTCTGGTTTCTGAAGTTTTCTCATGATGGAACTAAACTTGCTTCTGGATCAAAAGATGGCACTGTCATTATCTGGGATATATCGGTAAAGAGACAAGATCTCCCTCTTAGATACTTGCCTACTGTTTATTGTCAGCAAAATTGTGTTAGTTTTGAACGTGCTGTAGTTGATAACAATTCCTAGTTATGCCTAAAACATGTGGTGTAGGTCTAAAGAGTACATTGACATATAATATTATATATTCATTTGCATTGATTTTCTAACATAACTTTTGTTATAATGTTCCAATTAATTAAATACTCAAATATTTGTTTTGTAAAGGAAAAGAAGAAAAGAATAAAAACTAACCATCCTGTAGGTTACTGTTTTTAAATTTTTTTTCTTTTTCAACTTTGTGTTCAATTTTATCATAAGTATTCTAATTAAATTTTTAATTAATTGATTTTACTACTTACATATTAGTTAACACTTTTGATGATTATTAAATGCTACTTCTCTTTTTCTGTTGTTCAGAATGGTGAGCCCACAAACCTTAGAGCATTTGAAGGTCCTTCTTTTGGAGTAGGAGAATTGGCTTGGAGTCCCGATGATATCTATCTCATTGCTTGTGGTCCAGATGACTGCTCTGAGGTGTGGATCTGGAATACAGAGGTATGGTTTGGTCACCAACAGTTTCAGTTGTGAGGCTGGTGGCATTGGTTAACAAGCTATCAATTCATCTTTGTTGGCAAATGCTTTATTTGCAAAAATTGATGTGCTTGCCACTTGACTCATATATGATAAGAATTAGGTGAGGAAAAGGGTAGGAACTTACACGAATAGTAGTGGGAAGGGCTGCGGTAGAGGTTGGAGGAGAGTGCACCAAAAGTATGCGAAAGGCAAAAGTGTAGACATTTTCTTACAAAGAAGTGTTCAAAGAAGATTGTTCTCCATTACATTGTACACATTCATTGAAAGACTGGTTATACGTGTATGTTTTGGTTCTGCAGAAGTAGTTTTAAAAAAGGAGGGGGTCTCCCTCCAAAGGTATTGGCAGAAATATACACATAAACGAATACTGAAATGTGTGATAAGATTTGTACATGATTTGTGACTGGCTCTTGCAGACAGGAGAACTGAAATGTAGAATGACCCAAGCTGCAGATGATAGTCTCACGTGCTGTAGCTGGAACCCTGATGGAAAGAGATTTTACACTGGTGGCAAAAGAGGACAGTTTTATCAATGTGTAAGTCGTTTGCCGTACTGTTTGGTAATTTTTAACGCAGTGTCAAAGCAATCTCGGTGGAAACATGCTCTAGTTGTTGGAGTTTTAGTGGTGAGCTTTGACTTACTTCAAGCAGGTGTTGATGATTTTCTGGCTTCTGTGGCTGCCAAATGGATAGAGTTCAGGATCATAAGGTTAAGCTAAACACTGGCTGGGGTTACTGTGTTGAGTTTACTCGAAAGAATATCAACTTTACTTTAACTGTCTCCCTCCCCCCCTAGAGAATAAAAGAAAGGCCAATATAATCTGGATTGGATGGGGTAACAAAACAGCTAGTTGCTTCATGCAGTGGAAACTATGACAGATTTACTGCTCGCTAGCAAAACTTTCATGTACCTGCTCATAGTAGATGAGCTATTTCAAACAGATACCATCTGAAGTGGTGTTTGTCAAAGAGACATATCGTAAAAATCGAGTGAAAAGTTTGAACAACAGAGAATAAACCCCAATTTCCATTTTATTTGCCGTGGTGTTTGTATGGGTAAACACATAGGGCTTTTAATTTAAATGAAAATCATAGGATTAAGAACTCGCAGGATCAATATTCCTCGTCTTTTTTTGTAGGACCTTGATGGAAACGTGTTAGAATCTTGGGAAGGTGTTCGAGTTATGGGACTCCACTGTTTAAATGATGGAAAAATAGTCCTGGCCTCCGATACCCACAACAGAATTAGAACTTACAATTTTGAAAATTTAAACGAGGATAACTTGTAAGTACATCTGAAGTTCTGCGGTGGATGACGAGTTGCATGCCTCTAGGTAAACTAAAATAACAGAAATTACAAAAAGCTAAGCCTGAGAAAGAAAACAGGCTTCGTATCTCCTTCAAAGAGGACACGTTTCCGACAAAACAAAAAAAAAACCTTGCAGGGCTCGATACAAACTTTTCAAATTACTAGCCAAGTTGCAAGTGACAACTTAGACGTCACGACAATTTCAGTTTGTTTACTGGCAAAACCACAAGCCAAAACTGAATTTCTACTAGTCTGTGGCAATTTGGCTACCGTTAGTGTCGAGCCCTGCCTAGCTTACAACATGGGAGTTTCTGGTTCATTTTGTGATATTTCCCAAGCAGTGTTTGGGAGGCACAGGTTGGGGGGGGGGGTATTGAAGTCCGAATTTCATCCAGGGTGGGCTCTAATCGTGTTATTTCCTTGTGACCTCTGAGGATCAATTCGGCACTTACAGTATGCCTGTATCATACACAGCTCAAATTTGGTTCATTTGTTGCTTGTATGGTATTAAATATTTGTTATCAGCACCAAACGAGAGAACCACTCTTTGCTTGTGGCGTCATAGTTAACTATGGTGGCATGCACTTCAATTTCCTAACAGTGATCATGAGAGACACTCGAAGGTGTCTTCACACTTAAAACCCTCATGAGAGACAGTCGCACTTAAACCATTTATTCCATTCACTGTGTTTTAATTACATCCCTTTCTGTCGATTTTGTTTAATTGTGTGTTTTATTGTTTGCAGAGTACAAGAAGACCGTCCAATTATGTCATTTTCTGTATCTGATGATGATCGACGGGCTCTTTTAAACGTAGCTTCACAGGTACGGATGTCCGCCTTGTGCCTTATTCAGGGAAGAATGTCATGGTTTGGGCGTTTTCAAAATTTACCTCAAAATTTTCAAGCGGATTGTTCGCAAATCCATGTTTTATTTCTCCCTTTTTTAGGGACTTCATTTATGGGATATTAGAGATCGAGTTTTAGTCAGAAAATACCAAGGTGTGAAGCAAGCAAGGTTGACTATATACTCGTGCTTCGGGGGTGCGAATCAGGACTTTCTCGCCAGTGGCAGCGAAGGTAAGCCGGGTTAACTAACCGTGATGGTAAACAGTTAATTGTCAGCTAGTAATCACTGTCAAAACTTGCAGTAAGGATGCGATACGAGATGGCTAGTCGTAAGCAGAATGGCAACCGGGCAATTTTCAGTGAGTGTCGAAAGGGATATGGACGGCCTTTGCTGAATTTTATTTTTAAAAATTGTGTTTTTGGATTAGAATACCTTGGCGAACAGTAGAGTAAAAGTGTGCACAACCCACGAAGCTTGCTTTTACTCTCTAGTGTTTCGTCTTCCTTGGCTTAGATGTCTTGGAGAAATTCGCGAATAGAATTTCGTTTCTATCAAGAGATTAACATGAGTGAGGGCCAGTTATCTTGGTACACCCATTACATGTTGGTGACTTGGTTTTCTTGGGATTGGCGCCGATGAGGGAAAGTTCTAAGAGGTTTTTGGGGGCTCTCAATTGTTGCTTAAAGTTTATGCTGGCGTTTAGCACTCAAAAAGAACATGGCCCATTTTAAACTTTGTCTTGCCTCTTACTTGATCGCTGTAGCCTTGAGGACATTGCCGCAAATATTTAGTAACACATACCGTATGTTTGTTACAGATCACAAGGTGTACATTTGGCATTTCAAGCGTGAAAAACCAGTTGCAGTGCTAAGTGGACACACGCGAACAGTAAATTGTGTCAGTTGGAACCCCAGGGATATCTCTATGTTAGCTTCAGCCAGTGACGACGGAACCGTACGGTTATGGGGGCCCATTACTAGAAATTCCAAATCTGGTAGGTGATGTCAAATCTGTAAAATGCGTCTTCGTGTTGGCAACTGTCATTTTCCATGTGGTATTGCGTGGTCGGTTAGCAAGCTAGGTTACGTAAAAAAACCAAGTCAACTTAGTTCCCAGGTTCCTACTTCTTTCTGAGAGGTACAGGTAATAGGTTCTCAATGGAGTGATGGCCTCTTGGGCCAACGGTTAAAATTGTGGTCAATTTGCGGCTAACGGTTAACTTTCTTCCTTTTTGATTAAAAAAATATTACGGTTAACCTTTTTTTTTACGACTGACGGTTAAAATTTGCAAATTTTTTCGCCTAACGACAAAATTTAGGGGCCGTTTACAGCTAACGGTTGACCACTTTGAGACCTTCATACAGGCGTGTATCAAGCTTGGTTTGTGAAGATATTAGGAGGGTAGCTGTGCACCGTATGGCTACCATTAAGAATTCTATGAACAGATACTCGTCGGGGTTTGGAAAGAAAAGAGCATCGACATACATCGAACATGAACGCTGTCGAAGATGCATTTATATAGCCTGTTCCAAAAGTTCAGTCAGTAAAACGGAACGAATTAGATGACGGCGCGAGAGAAGCGGCAGAGCGAAAACGAGGGAGGTCTGGGTCAGATCTTGTCATAGCTGTTGAACCTCGTTACTTCGTGATTTTTCTCTACTTGAATAGTTAAAAAACATGTCCAACAGTCGACGGTGTGGGTCTATTTTTCCTCCTTGATCGTTTAGCGATAATTGTAAAATGCTATTGAAATATTGTAAATACAAAATTTACTAATCTTCGTAGATAGCTAAATTAGTTTAATTGTTTTAGTTGCACTTACCAATATCATGTCAGTTCTTTGCTCTTGCCTTTATTTTTCAGGTAGTGGAAGCACGGCTGTGTAACACAATAGGAAAACTTTTGTATAAATTTTGACGCGGGATGCTTGCTGTGGTGTTGAATTTGTATGATACTCTCTTATTACTTTCTCATCCAAACCATTGGGCTCATCGACATTTTGTGCTATCCTTTTGTGAACTTGAGACAGTTTACCTGGTTAAGAATTCAGGGACAAGAGAGGAATTCACTCCTCGCTATTGGAAAACCGAGTGAAACTCCTTATCTGGCCCACATTCCAGTGAAATCTTGCTATTTTAAAATGGGTGACAGATTACAAATCATTTTTATTTCATCATCGTCGTAGAACACAAGAAATCTTCTTTTCTCTTCTTTGGATGTGCACCAATGAGCAATTTATTTTGATGACGGAACAAAGCCTTTAGAAGACCTTCAGTAAACAAACATAGACTATGATCAAGATCCTATTTATTTTTATTTATTTTTGTTTTACACTTGACAGACTCCTCATTCTCTTGTAACTTCAGAAACTTGATGACGTACATTCTCACATAGCTTTTGTTATGTTGTTTTTGTTTTTCCTCTTTCTCTCACCCTCGTAACTGAGAACTGATCTCCAGGCTTCAGTGATGGAATAAAGTTATTCCACGAGACCTTCAAACTGTTTCCGTGTGTTGTCCGCTTAAAATGTCGATGAGCTTGAGTTTTCTTCTAGGAAAATATTTTCAAGTTTTACCCATACTCGTGCTTTCTAAGCTTTTCTCCCAACTTTCTCGCTTGTTACTGTCCATTTTTTATGCCTTTGATTAGTGCAAACAAATTATATATAATAGGAGTATTTAATTTATGCTGCAATAGCAATAAAATAACGGTTTTGAACAATTTTGATGATGTGGTTCTTCGGCTGGGGTCTTGTGAAGTCAAATTTCTCGTCAATTTTCTGTCGCTTTTTTTTTCTTAGTTTTGCGCAACGGACTTCCCCGTAAAGGAGGGACTGCACGAAGTCTAGCTAACTTGAGGCCATAAATTATCCAGCTTTTCCTTCCTATAGGTAAGGACGTATCCTCATCGATTGTCACAAGAAATCATAACCAAACCATAGCAAATGAAATTAAGACAAAAGTGCGTCCTCAAACGCTGGAGAATGATGCTGATGACTTAGTTGCGAACGCGTCTGCTTTGCTTCAGTTTAAGTTAAGATTAATTCATTCGCCACAGGATTGGCAGGAGAAAGGAACAGAACTTTCGTTCCAATTGACACCTAACCTCTCTTTTACCCACTCATCCCACCCCAGGGAGGACATCCATCACACAGTAATCTCGTGTGTGGGAAATTAACGTCTCCTACCCCAACCCTGCAGGAGACGGGACCTCCATTTATCGTCCCTATTCGAGAAGACTAGAAAGTCTAACCATTTGCAGATATTATTACAAAGGCAGCACTTTCTTCTCAGTTAATTAAAGACCCTGAGATTTGAACTCACGACCTCCCGCACAATAGTCCGGCGCTCTACCAATTGAGCTAACCGGGAGGCTTCAGATCAACCAATAGACTATGTCAGCATGTTACTTCCAAGAGCAGAAACCTCGCTCGAAAAGTGCGCGAGTACGAGCAAAATACGCGATGTGTGCAACTGCTTTGAGCAACAGAGGCAGACTGTTCAGTCCTGGAGTACTTACACCCGGTTTTCGCGAGAGAGTTCATTAGAGAGTCTGTATTACCGGTAATTACAAGTCATGTTTCATTCAGCAAGGATATCTTATATCGATACAGTTGAGGGTAAAAAGATTAATTATCAAGGGTCCGACAACTCTTCTTAAAACCAAGGCCCTGTCTTCCTCTGTGGTGTGGTGACCTAGTTACTGCGAGTGTAATCCCCCATTGTGCTTCCTTTTATCATCTCATTTTTCTTTAAACCCTGAGGAAATTTTGATCAGTTTCGATTGCCAAGGAGTAGCTTACACTCGCTGTTGTGAGGTTGGGTTGTCCGTTAAACCTTGTAATTTCAAGTTCCTTCATCCCTTGGGTCTCTGCTTGCATTGGTTGCATGCTTTAAATGTCTACTTTTAATATTTGTACAAGGAGTTCAATCAGAAGAATGGAGCGAAAAAGCAATCAGCACGATAACAGCAGAGGAGTGAAAAAGAGAGAGAGGCTTGGGTCGAGTCGTGTTCATTGCCCCACCCAAGTCTCCCTCACTTTTTCGCTTAGCCGCTATTAAATTTGCTATCGCGCTTTGTTTCACTTACCGAACGCCTAGAAAAGGCTACGGCTTACTTGATTGATTTTTTTTCCTTTTACAAATGTGCAGCAAATTCTAAGGTGGGATAACTCGTGTGTCATACACAACATCAATACTGTAGGTAGCGGAAAGTTTCAGAGGGGTACACTTTCCTTGGTTAAAGCTCTAATCATGGTTTTCGTTGGAGCAGCAGTTCTGCCTCATGGAACAATGATATTTGATGGTGCTCCTAACTCAGAAAGCGCCGCATGCCGTAAAAGGAATTCCACAATGCCGGCAGAGCTCATCAAACAATGCTCTGCTTTGTACTCTTCTTGCGAGCAGGCAGCCGACTTGCTGGCGAAGATGAACCCTGAAGTCGTTCTGCTTGTAACTCCGCATGGATTATCCTTGTCATCTGGCTCGCTTGGTATCTATATGGCCACCGCTGCACAGGGAAATGCTCTGTGGAATGACGAGTGGCGAGATATAGAGCTGAATGTTCCGTTAGATTCTCAACTCTCTGCTCATTTGCTCGAGTTTGTTCAGCGGAGAGGGATTAAAGCAGATGGCATCATAACGTTTTCCATGATGGAGGCACCGATAAGGTGGGGTGAGGTTGTGCCTTTATGGTTTATTGACAGGAAGACTGACTCGGATAACGTGAAATACATGATTGCGGCTACTGCGAGAAATACAGAAAGTTTAGATGTGATTGGGAAGGCTCTCCACGACTTTGTTTCAGGTCTTGATCAGCGGGTAGCTGTAATAATGAGCGGAGATCTAGCTCACACGCACGAGGCAACTTGCAATATTCCACTGTATTTGCCAGGTATTTATGTACTAATCATTTCGTGATTATGTATTCTTTTTGTCACGCAAGCTGACGACCTTATTCGAAGTTATAATGTTGCGTGACCGACAGAACTCTACAGCAGCATAGCTAAGGAGGTTCCAGTGCAAGGTTGCATTTGATCCCCTTTTTGTTTCGGAAAGGTGATAAGCCATTTTAATATACTGGTAATTATTGTAGAGATTCACACACTCTCAGATTGGTCAAGGATTGCATTATATCCGTCTAGCAATAATCACCTTGCACCAGGTGATATCACTAGAATTTACTAGGTTTATTTAAATAAATCAGCAAATGCTTCATATCTTTGTATTGAAAAGTGTTACACAAACTTAGTGGCATCTTCTGTGCTCTTCAGATTTGAATTTTCCTCTACAGTGTTTATCACTTACAGTGTCATATTGAGAAAATGTGAGGTAGCCATTTTGAAATTCAGTGCCCTTCCTACGATCAAAACTGGCTGCTTCTTTCAATATGATTAATCAAAACAATTGTAACAGAATGGTTTTAACAACAAAACAGATCTACATCAGAAGTCGAAAGCACCAGAGCAATTACACCAAACAGTTATACACCTCAGGCTCCATTGATGCCCAAAAATTGAGGGGGTTTCCTAGGGTAAATTTGTCCCATTACTGAAAAATCCTTCCTACCCCTTTGATGGTGTCAAATATTTTCATGAGGAAAATATCTAGCATTATTACCCAACTTCACCTAGACGAGTACAAATAATGCCATAGACGAGTACAAACATCACGCGGTATTTGAACTCGTCTATTGTAGAGCACCGGTTAAACAGGTTTTCTCGCATCGCGCAAGCGAATAATTGGATTGTAGTTACGAAAAAAAAAAATGGCGGACAATATGAATCATATTTCCGACGACAAAGAGTCAGAATGGCTGGCAAATATTGGTCCAAGTTCATTAGATGAGTCGAACGAAGAATAACAGCTTGACGACCAGAAAATTTCTTCATTTAATGAAGAAAATAGAAACGGCAACACAACAATGCACCAATTCCGTTCCACTTCACATACTTCTGTCGCGCACTCCCCGTAAATGAACATCCGCGAAATTCACCTGCACTGAAATAACAGTTTGGCATGTTGGATAATAAATAACTTATTAGACATTTTGTTGTGTAGTATCGCTGAGTATATTTACTTGTTAATTGTATTTTGACTCGCCCTATGGCCTTGTCAAAATACGGCACAACTCGTAAAAATACTCAGCGATACTACACAACAAAACGTCTAGTAAGATATATCAATTGAGCTAACATATGCAAGTCAAAGAACTTACTGATTTTTATTTTGTAAATTTAATCTGATAACTCTTTTATTAGCAAACAAATTTATTTTTTATTTATTACAGTTTCTCCAAATCTAGATTAACTTAAATTACTAAATAGATGCATAAATAAATACACAGACATAAACAAAATAAATAAATAATGATGATGGAGAGGCAGCATCCAAAAGCGTCCTAGACACCACACGAGGGATGCTCCCCAGTAAGATATAATATTAAAAAACAGTTATCATAGTATAGAGTTTGATATCTAAGTATTACATTGAATCAAATCTAAAAATTCTAAGTATTACCAAGGAATGAAGTAACTTTATGTTTAAGGCTAGAAATACTAGCAGAATCCTTTATATTATTTGGAAGACTGTTCCATTCATTCACAACATGGATAAAAAAGCTAATATTATTAATGACAAAGACTAGGAGCCCATGGTCTCCTAAACTGCCTCAGTTGGGGTTGGAATTTGTACTTATATGTACTGTCCTAAGAATATCTGCACTTAAAGAACATCCCTGGCATATAAACTCTCTGGTCGTCCTTTAACATACCAATTGTAGGGGGACTGGTGACAGCAGATTTGGAATTTTGCAAATGGGAATTGAATGACTTGCCATGTTACAACACTAAAATTTTTTGTAACTGTTTTGGCAAATTTCATCTTTAGACCCTAGATCCAACTTGAAACCTACAGAAATTGCAGCAGAATTTGATAGGATGTGGGAGATGTGGGCTAGGGGAATACCATATAGTGATGATGTGTTGGAGGGGACAGGTAATAAATAGAGAGATTGAGCAAAGATCCATGAGCAGCAATCAGTAAAACTACTTGCGGCTCTTGACAGCTCTGGTCATTGTAACTTTAGGGCTACTGTACTCTTACAATGAAAAGTGTAGAATTTAAGTCCAACATTGAAGCCTTTGGGTGGGGAATCTTGACAACATGTTACCCATTACGAAGACTGTACTTCGAGAAAATAGTATTAGCAAATATTTGTACCAAAATTTATACCTGGAAACCTTGTATGTTTCAGGTGTGTGAGATTTTATCCTGAGAGTGTCAAGATAAGTATTTTAAGACAGCTCAATCACTGCAAATAAAAAAAGGCTGAAAGATTTTCAGAAAAGTACAATGCAAACTCTTCTGGAGTGCTATTCCCTTTCAAGTAGAAGGTTATTGGACTTCCCTGAGCTTTTCTCGTTGCATTGCTATAAGTCTATTAACTCGATCGTCAATCTAGGGTACGGGGTGAGATACGCAAAAACTTAACGCCTGTTCTTGAAGCCTGACTTGTCCCCAGTCGAGGAAAGCGCGCGAGAGGTGCGCGTGGGACGAGATAGGAAGAAAAAGAGGAGGAGAGACTCTCCGCTCTCTCTTCTTCCTTCTTATCGTCCCCTTTGTTGCGATTGTGCCAGTCTCTCGCGACCCTGTGACCACGTTTTAAAAGTAGGAGACGACTGGGGACTGGGGACGTTATAATCTGGCGGATCAGTATTATGAATCAAAACAAGAGCGTAAACACCATGTTTCGGTTGTTCGTAGGGTGGACAACGCTAAACACTAGAGAAATATTTATCCGGTGGTTAACACACTAGGATTCTTCAACACTTATCCGCTGGATAACGATTTATCTATTGGATTACGTTATCCGCCCTGTGAACAATTGGATCCAGACCTTTGCGGTCAATAGTACCGCTCTGTGAAAAACCTCTCTTTTGAATGCATGTTCTTTTTGATAACTTTGTCAAAACATTTCGTCTCAGATCACTTGGATGAGGTTCACCCGTGGGTGGCTAGTCAATGTTCACCGTGGCTGGACAGAATTCTTGAAGACAATCCAGTAGCCAAGGCTTGTGGCAGGAGGAGCATTCCAATTCTCCACAGTATTTTGGAAAAGGAAAGTAACGAAGGAGGTAACATCGTATCGCACTTCTTAGGCCGTTGGGCTCCTACGTACTATGGAATGATGACAGTTGTATTCAGAGTAAATAAGTAACACTTGGTGCGAGCGAATAATCATTTTGTTGTTTTAGTCTCGTTCCTCGAATAAGCTACTAAGCTACTTTAGAATTGACTCCGGCGCCCCAAGAGTCGAGGGGAGCTTGTGAAATCTTCTTTTAACAAGCTTTGGTTTCTTTTCGTTTAGGACTAGTAGACTACAACTGATATTCAAATAGGCACATGGGGATATAGCGACAATATATTGCGATCTTCTCGTGTAAAAGGGGCGGGGGTGGTAGGGTATACAGTCGTTTCGTAACCAGGTTGAGTCAGTTCGTATCCGAACCGCGGGTCGATTCGTACCCGTCCTAATGCTCATTCATTGTAAATACCTTGCGCATGAGTGCGTGAACATATGTCACTTGTTGCCAAGGACAAGTTAGTGGAGTCAAGCAAAAGAAACACGAGTACATATGTGCCTGATGGAAATATTCTTTCAATCAGTCGTATGTCTCCCAGACCCCGCATTTTTGGTTCCAGGCCTGAGATTCTGTGGTCGAGTATCAAAAATGGATGCCACGTAAACAAAACTTATTTCGCGCAGGTAATAAACATAAGAAACCGACCTGACTTTAACAGACTTGACACGGAAAACATACTATTTTCACAAATAAATAAAAGAAACAACAGGATGGTTAAAGGTTTTTTTTTTCATTTTTTTTTAATATCTACAATTAAAAAACTCTCTCAAATGTTTACATTGTGATTCTTCAGCGAAAATAAAAGTTATATTAATTTTTGTTTCTGTTCCTTTGTTTCTGTTCCATTATTTCTTCATGTGATAAAAATTCCATTGTAACTGACAAAAAAAGCAGCTTTAAAAATCTTTTTTCCTAATTTATATTTTCACAGCTATGTAACCAACACTTTTTTAAAACGCGCAGGTGTCTAGGACACCACAGTCTTGTGTACTCGGGAAAACCACAAAAAAAGATTCTACGAGAAAACTTTTCCTTTATTTTTTGCTAGTCAGAAGAAGAGACTCAATTCAGCGAGAAACGTGACTTATTTTCTCTTTGCTATTCACTACTGTCTCTCATTTTTTGCAACAATAGCGAATTTTTTTTCTCAACAAAGTGCACAAATTTTCACTATGGATTTCCATGGAATTGCGTGAACGGCTGGGCCGGACGGATCATATGGTAAGTTACCTTAATTTGTCTTTCTGCATAACTTATATCATTTGTTTATGTGAATATGCCGCTGTAATTAAATTGCTTTCGGTTTAACGACTCTCAATCGAAAAGCGCCCTATACTCTTAGTGTAGTCGAATTTGAAGACTTCGTTAAAAAGTACAAGGACTTTCCATGGCCCAAATAAACGATACAGGCCTCTTGGACGCGGCGCGTACCGTGGATGTCCTTACTGGGTTCAATGTCTGTACCAACTCTTTGGGACAAATTGTTGTGGGAATATCACCATTTGTAGATACGTCGTTTGGTGGAGAAACATGTATATCACTGTCCATCAACTCTTCAAGATATTCTACGGGATCTTTTCCGTTATTTTGCGGCTCTAAACACGGAATTAGAAAAGGGATGGGGGAGCTGACAACACCAACACCTCCCATTACGAGAAATGCAACTATGTAGTTTCCAAGCCTGTCTGCCATAAGACCTGAATTTAGGATGAATGAGAAAACTCCTTAAAGGGGAACTGAAGCCTAAAAATGAACCATTTTTAAATTGCAGCTTATACTTCAAATAGCAATGTTCGAGGGTTTTTTTCAGTCTTTGGGCCCAACTTCGCTTCGGAAAAATAGTTTAAAGTGGTATTTTGGCCTCGTAGTACGGCGGCTCAGAAAAGCGATGTCAGCGGTCATTTTAGCTCGCTCTTACGTCACTGGTGGGGAAGAAAGATAATAAACCCGTACTCTTCCTACAGAAATTTGGTTTGGTTATGGAGTTATCGAAGTTGCGTGACTTGTAATGGGGATTAACTACGAAAATGAAATAGTAACAGTTGTTTTTCTTGAGTTGATTCCCCACCACTGACGTCAGAAACGACCGCTGCTGACCCATTTTGAGCCGACGGTCTTACAGCCCCAAAAGCAGGAAAAAGGCAACTTCAAATCGAATTTTCTCGTAAAAAGCAAGAAGTGAACGAAAATGAATATCGACACTATCTTACTCCTCTAAAGCTAACAGAAGTGAATGCAAACAATATACCAATTTTAGGCTTCACTTCCCCTTTAACAGCAAGCCTATTCGATGACAAAAGTGAACCTTAACTGCTTTTATCAAAGTATGGTGATAGATCGTGGATTCCAGAATGAAACACCCCTCTGCTCTTGAGGGAAAGTTCTTAGTGTCCGGTTAATGGGACTCAAAATTTTCTGTACAATTGTCTCCCTCATGGAAGCTCTTATAAAGGCTTAAAAGCTTTGAATTTTCAATTCTTAGAGCTGATTAACATGCAAGTTCTCTCCGCAACTTCAGTACATCCTTCAGCAAACAGGTAATGAATATGGTCAGAGCGCTGGCCCTCCACCGCGGTGATCCGAGTTCGATGCCCAAAATTGGCGTTAGCTGTGGGGTGGAGTTCCTTGCTTGATACCGTGCCTACGAAGTTTCCTCAGGATTTTCTGGTTTAATTTTAACAATAAACGAACACTCAAAATTCCAATTCTACGAGAGGACGAACAGCCCCAAAGTGGAAACGCCATAGCATAAATCTAATTGATTTAGTTTTTAATTTAATTTGATTTCATAAACCTAACACTTGGAGGGTGCTATCGATCTTGACACAAAAAAACAACTGGTCTGAACTAATATTAATTTGCGAGGAAATTTAAGGGGGTTAGAAGGGAGAATTTAAAAAATAGCCTCGGGGATTTGAAGGGTGGAAAGAAAAGGATCAAGAGGACTTGGTATCTTACCAGTTAAAGGCGGGCCGCCGAAGACTAGAACCCCACCTGCCATCATGGAAAACCCAAGGCAAAGTGCTCTTTCCGACTCCTCTACAGACTTGAACAGCTCGATAATATATGTTGACACCACCAGCCCGTCCGCTAGGCTAAATATTATGACTATTACAGCCAGTGGGGTGTAAGTCTTTGGTACTGTCAGAAGCATGATCGAGACGCCAGTCAATAACACGCTTGCTTGGTAAAGGAGACGTGAGTTGACATATTTGATGTCGCAAAGCCAGCCAGCGCACAAACGACCAATGGCGGAAAATATTCCGATAAAAGTGAAAAGTGTGGAACTCTTATCCGCCGGAATGCCAAGATCGTCGCAGTGTTTTATCTGAAGAATAATGAGTTAAGTGAAATTATCAGAAAAATATACTGCAACACATCACACCTTCCACACATTTTAGCGTCTTGCAAGTGGAAGGCTAAAAGCGTTTGCCTTCTGGACTCGGCGAACAGACCTCTTTAGCTTGTCAAGAGAATCTTCTCTTGCTTGTATATTTTTTTTACTCATTTCAGGGTGTGTAATAATACTCTAGAGAACAGTTTCTTTTAGATTTCCTCCGGTTAAGTCAAGAAAATATAAGCTTTCATGCTGTGTAATATGACGTAAATCCATGTGCGGTAGCCGATGGAAAAAATTACAGAAGCTCACCAAGTGCACGTAAGGAGTCATCCGCACAAAGTTGGTAAATGTACACATAACCAACAAAACCAGAAATCTTTTGTTCTTACAAACAGCTACATTCCAACAAAACTTCTTTGAGTTTTTCTCGCGTTGGGTCGACGAACCTGTGGATCTGGAACTATCGTGTTTCAGAAAGGAGCCTGTTAAGGACGAGAGAGCCAAAATACCCGCAAATATGAGGAAAGCCTTTCTCCAGTTGAACATGGCAGTGGTCACTTGTAAAACAGGACCACATATCATGGTTCCCAGACCTTGACCGGCAGTCACAATTCCAAGAGCCAAGGATCTCCTCTTAGTAAAGTAGTGGGTCATTATCACTGACGAGGAAAGGTAAATAAATGACGTACCAAAGCCGAAGAGTGTGCAAAAGGCTACAAAGAGAACCAGGATGTTTGGAGCCAGGGTACCCAGCCCGAGACCGGCAGCACAGGACAGGCAACCTGTGATCCTGACCACACGGCATCCAAAACGGTTTACGACCGCGCCAGTCACAGGTCCAAAGAATAGAATTATTGCCATGGTGATAGAGCTCACCCAAGCTGTAAGAATCAAAAGAAGAATAAAATACGAAAACAATGATGCTTATGATAACAGTAAAAATAATGAAAATAATATTGATAATGACAACGACAAAAATAATAAAAATGAAGAGGTCAGCCAACTTTTACAGGTTCCACTTCTTAATTCCACCTTAGTCCCATGCCACCCGAGTATCTTGGTATACGACGTTGAGGTCAAATTCAAATTCTCAGGAAAGCAAACGGCATTCTCGCGTGCAAATGAGGGTAGAAAGCATATAATTTGGATAGGTGTTCTATGTCTCTTGGCACTCTGGCCACCCTGGTGTAAGAAGAAACAACCGGAAATCTGTGATCGAGGGCTTCGAGAAGAAATGAGGTAACGTTCTTTCTGTCCATGTGTTTTACACGTCATGAAAATGACCAGGATGATACATAAATTATTTTCCTGCTTTTTCCATTGGATTATAGCTTAATGCCGCCCAACATATTGATACAGCGGAACTTCGATTTAACGAAATGCCAAGGGACTGGGGAACTTAGTTCGTTATATCGAGGGTTCGTGATATCGAGGGTTCGTGATATCGAGGTTCTGTGGCATACATTTTACTGTAACTTTAGCCGGGCTGAAACTGAAGTATCATTCGTTAAAACCAAGGAATTCGTGATATAGAGGTTCGTTAAATCGAAGTTTCACTGTAATTCCTCCCATCCTAAGGATGGCAAAGGATTTCTACTTGACGCGTGACTCGCGCGTCGCTTGTAAACCCTTTGTGATTAAGTCCGAAATTAGAACGTGACGCGTGAATTGTACATAAGGGAAACTTGTGGTAAGAAGATATTGGCATAAGTTTTCTCTTTTAAATTCATTACGCATGAAATTCAGTTTAAATTACATGCGATACGCGATTTTTTCTTAGATTCGTGCGTAAACGGGATCAGGACTATATATTCTTTGAGCCGGAAACAACAG